ATCATGTGAATCAAAATGCATATCAGTATTTTAATTTTACTTCTTTTTCTTATAAATCTGATTAAGATAAAATTTTGGTTGTATATGTCTAACACTATTGCGTGGCACATAAAATATAAAAATGTTATTTTCAGGAGTATTTCTTTCATTTTATATTTGGGAAATATTTTTTATATATTTTTAGTTGTGTGCTCTATTTTTTAATTCACGCGTCTAAAATTTCATTATAATATGATTTCTAGTAAAAAATATTAAAATTCATATAATGATATACATTCTTAACCGTATGATGAAGATCTAACGACTCCCATTCCACTTATATTACTATTCATTATTGTGGCCAGCTGTTGTAAGGTTCAATCTATATAATAAAGTCAATGTGACCCGTTGGACTAGATCCAAATCCACGTCACTTAGACCTGGTTTTCTCATGGTGGAGAAGGTCATAAAATATTGGAACAATTTTGATGGTTGACGAGTGCAATCCTGGGGTCGAGACTACAAATGTGTCCCCGAAGCAAGTTGCCATAGCACGAAGGGTGACTATGCATGCATTTGTCCCTTAGGAAGTACAGGCGATGGACTAATGAATGGCACAAGATGCAAAGATCCACTATTTGTTGTCGAAGTGGTTCTAGGTTCGGAACAACTCTCTCTCTCTCTATTTCTCTCTCTCTAAACAAATGTTTAATATGTGATCGAAGTTTCTCATGAGAACTAAATAAAATACCTTGACCTTGATGTTCATGGCAAACATTGAGAGCAGGTTGTCGAATTGGCCTAGCGCTTCTATTTGCAGGTGGCATGTGGATATACCTAGCAATGAAGAAGATAAAGCAGATGAAGCTCCGAAAACATTACTTTGAGTAAAATGGAGGTCTATTGTTACAGAAAAAGGTCTCTAGTGAACAAGGCCTTACTGCCCCAAGGATATTCACAACCCAAGAGCTCGAAAAGGCTACCGACGACGGCTTCGAAGAATCAAAGATACTGGGAAGTGGTGGCTTTGGCATTGTGTACAAGCGAACCTTAGATGACCACACAATTGTAGCCATTAAAAAGGCCAAAGTGGTGGATCATACCCAAATACATTTCATACATGAGGTCCTCATACTGAAAGAAAGACTTATGTGATCTTTTATCGGGAATACAATTTTTTTTTTTTCTTCACCCCTTTCTTTTGACAAAAGATCACTTTTATGTGGTCTCTATTATAATAAGATAAATTTTAAAATAAAATCAACATAATAATAAAACCAAGATCTTAACAACTTGATGCCATTGAAATAACTATGCACTGTACTTGAGAATAAAAAATAAGATTGCAAGAAACAAAAGGACGAGTGCCTCAGATTATCTCAACCGGGCTTATTACACCCCACACTAAGTCATCACCATCCGATGGCGCGGGATCAACAGTCTAACTTCAATCTCGAACCGAGAAAGCAAATTTCGGCCAAGCCACACCAATGGAACATGAACCCCTTTGATCACAAACTCAAACTCTAGCTGAATTATCTTAGCAACCTTGTTTGAGAGAGATGGATTCTCTTTTTGCTAAACCCTAAAACCCTTAGCCATATTTGAGAGATAGGAGAGAAGACTTCTATAACCTAAATCCTTAGTTTCTTTCACAATGTGGGGGAGAGAGATCAAACATGAGAGAGACAAACTTTTTTAAGAGAGAGAGATAGAAAGATAAAGTGTAGAGATTTTTTGATAGAGACAATCCCTTTTTATAGGCTTTGAATAAGTTTAGGGTTTCTTAAGGTTTTCTTTTGCTTGCCTCTTCTTGTGAGTTGAACGTAGACCGTCGATCGACTTGTAGGGTGAGAGATCTGAGTCATCCATTTCATAGATGGGCCATCAACATTATAGAAGATGCATGAACCATAATCCTCTTTTTCTAAACTATTTTCTCATCAATAGAAATTAAAAAAATTAAATCTAATTAAAATATTGTGCATACTATAAAATAGCACAAGTCTACTCAATCTTTCCACAAAATCTTTCAAAGATATATCAAGTCAATATTTAGTCAATATCTTCCAACTATATGGCCACATGTCATATCACAAAAAAATAGGAAAGAGAAAAAAGGTGGGGCATGCCACCCAAATGAGGTACTTATAGGCCCCACCTTCTAAAAATATGGTGAGCTCATTTGCACAATGGGTTCATAAAAATTCAAATAATAATCTTAAAATAATTTTCATTATAAAACAAACACGATTAAATTAATTTGATGGGAAAAGGATCCATATGGTTTAGGAATCAACAATCATGAGGCACTTCACCTTCAACTGTGGACTACAGACCACATTTGCTTTATCAGACCAACCCAGTATTTTTCATGACCCACAGTTCAAGCAGGGGCTCATTAGCGGGTCACCAAAGTTCGGCCGATAAGCCAAGGGATCGCAAGCCCAGTTTGTGGATTTCAGGTCCTTCCCTAGAGACAAGTCAAGGTCATCAAGACCTTATGCGAACACAACTCTATGACCCATAGGGGTATCTCTCGCACAAGCATATGCTTCACCCTAAAAGGTGAATTTTTGGCTTTTTCGAGCGATCTATCGATATGCATGCTGTGTGATGGCACATGGATGAGGCTTTGGCCCCCGTCTCTATAGGCCACCATCACACACAAGGGTCACACAGTCCCTCGGCTCACTCATCCAGGCATATTCTCCGACCTCATCAAGGGCTAACCCATTAGACCCCTTCTCGGTTTGTTCTTTATGCCCAGGTAACATAGGTTTTCCCCAACCGATTGGCCTAGATCGTCAAGCACAGTCCGGTATTTGCAAACATCGTTTGCTTAGTATGGCCCACGAGGGACCACACTCCTACTGAGTTCATGTTCCACTCTATCATTTCATTTTACAAGCACTCACAATGCCTTTAAAGGCCACATGAACCCAACACATATTCACTCAAATCAATCATCAGAATGTGGTGAACTCTTGGGTTGTTGCTTGAAGACTCCTGTGCCGATTTTAGTTTATGAGTACATTCCCAATGGCACACTCCACCAACACATCCATGAAAATGACCCAAAGAATCAAATAACATGGCCAGACCGCTTGAGAATTGCCTTAGAAACAGCCGAAGCACTAGCTTACTTGCACACTGCAGCTTGCATGCCCATCTTCCATAGAGATGTTAAGTCATCCAACATAGTGCTAGACCATAATTATACTGCAAAAGTATCCGATTTCGGGGTCTCACGACTTGTCCCCATGGATCAAAACCAGATGTCTACATTGGTGCAAGGGACTTTTGGGTACCTAGATCCCGAATACTTTCGAACCGGGCACTTGACCACTAAGAGTGTTGTCTATAGTTTTGGGATTGTTCTATTAGAGTTTTTAACTGGAGAAAAGCCGGTTTCCTCCAAGAGATCTCAAGATGATGCAAATCTAGCTTTGTACTTTATATCTCATTTGAAAGGGGACCATCTTGAAGAGATTTTAGAGGAGAATGTTCGAAAGGAGGATAGCATTGAGCAATTGCAAGATGTTGCAAAGTTGGCTATGAACTGCTTGAGACTCAGTGGAGAGAGAAGGTCTACGATGAAGAATGTAGTGCAAGAACTACTTAGAATTAGTGGGTCTTCACAAAATGCATGTATGGACGAAAATGAGGAAGTTATTGAGGCCTCACTAAGTCGCAATACATCCTTCCCTAGTGATGGAAGCCCTAACAGTTCCTAGACCAATTCAACAATATTATGTAAAAAAATCAGTAGTTGGGAATCCCTAGTATCTATCTGTTACTTTTACTACTGTCTATAGTGAAGTATTGCTTCCTCTTGAGAATTTGAACCGTCCTTAGCTTTAGAAAATTGTGTTGCTAGTGCTACATAAGAGTTTGTGGATACTGGTAGTTTTCTATTTTAAATGAGATAAGTGTGCAATTTGTCCATGTTTTTTGTTGATTGACCTAGCTATTTGTCGCTTATGGTTGAAATTGCAATATATTGGTCTCATAGGCCCTACAATGCTAGTTTAGAATCTCTAAATTACTTTTGGGCAGGATTATCTAGATTTTTAATTTATTGATTGAACTATGATGAGAGTTTACAAGATCATCTATTTACGTCTAAGTCTGTATTTATGTCTAAGTCTGTAATGTTGTGTAGCAAAATGATTTGAATGTTCAAAATGGTGAGTTAGATTGGGAGCTTGGCTTCCTCTCCAGGTCCTTTAAAAACTTTATTTTTTTATTTTCATGTTAGGAATTGTGAATTTAGCGAATTATTTTGATTTAGTTTCAAAGAGCAAATAAAAAAAATATTGATCTTGCGTTTAGGGTCGTTAATGTGCCGGGTTACGCTGCACCAGCCCTGGTAGAATCCAACCTGAGCTGGAAGAAATTTGGCAAGGCCAAGCCCTATAAAGATATGGGAAAAGGCACATTTAATAGATGTAATATATATTTTAAAAGCTTTCGGGTTTGGCCAGTGACAGCCCGGTGCCAACGGAAAATATTTCGCAAGCGTTACAAAAGCGGATCAATGATCCAGATAAGCCACCCCAAGAACTATCGGATCGGTAGATCGACGATCTGGATAAGATAATTGGCAGAATCGGGGGGTTTTGGCCTAAAAAAATTTCAAATAAAGAATATAATTTCTTAAAAATTTGGTGTTTTAGGTTTCTAAAAGAAATAGAGACAATCACACTATAGGTTGTTGTTATTGTGTCAAAAATTTGTAAATACTAAGAAATTGTCTCATGTTGAGTATTTGTTATCTATTAAATTCAATTTATAGTCAAATAAAGTTTAAATTACAACATAACAAAACAAATTAATCTCTCTAATCTAATTTATTTATTTTATCATTGTATTAACTTAGAAGTTTTGATTTTTAAAAGAAGCTATATAGAACAAATTAAATAGGAAAAAAATATTAGTTGAATTTCCCGCATCGTGAAGCTGAAGTAGCAGAGTTTCTATGAAAGCCCAAGGGTCCTCCAAGTGAGGTGCGTTTTGGACAGCACGTTCCCTCGGTTTGCATGTGCTAATGTGAGAGTGGTTCGGGCATAATTTAATAAAAAAATATGGCGTCGGCCACTAACTTTCATTTGTAAAGAAACCCACAACGCCTTATAAAGAAATTTACAGCTCTGAATCGGTCGGAGCCCTTTGAAAAGGTTTGTAAAGAAATTTACAGAACCTTATGAAGAAATTTACGCTCCGGATGGGCGGAGCCCTTTTAAACAGTTTTTAACTTTTAGTTTTAAAGAAAATTTACAGCTCCAGAAGGAACCCTTTGAAATGGATAGATCCCGATATATAACAAGATTCAAATCAGTCGGTTTTAGATTAAATCGCAAAATTTTCAAACACTAATATTTTGGGCCTACCAAAGCCGGCAGCTAGTCTTAACATATGGCATCAATGTAGCCCAACTTGGATATGCCCGAACGGGCGTGGATTGGACTAGCCCGGGCCTGTTATTTACAAGCCTGGGCCGATATGTGACGAAAGTTTAAACGATTTTTAACTTTTTATTTTTTTAAGAAATTTATAGCTCTGGAGGAGCCCGTTGAAACGGCTTGGTCCTAATATATTACAACATTCGAATCGGTTGATTTCAGATTAAATCGCGGAATTTTCGAACACTGATATTTCAGGCATACCAAGGCTGGCAAGCTGGTCTTAACATGTGGCTTCAATGTAACCCAACTTGGATATGACCCAAACGCCTCTAGATTGGACAAGCCCGGGCCGATATATATCTATATATATATAGATCACCGCTAAAGGTTTTTAAAAGCCGTTAAAACCTTTCACCACAAATTTTTATGGTTCTATTCAGTGGTGAACTGATTAACTGTGCAAATTTAGAGTTTTGAGTCAAATCTAAAGTCACTATGACCCAAAGATCACCGTTAAGCCAGACGGCATAAAAGGTTTAGTGATTGTTTTCAGTTGACTCAGATTAAGACTATAAAATCGAATATGGCAAATTTGTTCAGAACACTATCTAGTAGGACAACTTCTACCAGCACACTTCGTGTAAATAATAAAGAAGAAGTTATTATCGATAATATCGAAAAACAAATCCAAAATTGGAACATCCCAAAAGCTCCTATAACTGATGTTTATAAAAAGGGGACTTTTGATTTCAAAAGTAGCTTCTCAATTAAAGCTACTGAGAAAACTATTTCTGTCATGGAAACTCAAGATAGTTTCCAACTCCTATCCTCAAGGATGGTTGAAGAATATAAAAGAAAAGATTTTAACTATTTGCATATTGGCCTTGTCCAAATAGCTGTTAATTAACCAGGATAGGGTTAAACAACTCTATTTTGCTTTGCCTAAGGGATTACAGATATAGATGGTTCACTGATTCTTTATTAGGAATCGTCGAATCAACTCCTTGCAATGGTCCTATATATTTTAACTGCTTTGTGAATTTTTTGGTGGCCTTATCTGATCCAAATATTTTGAAGGTTTTAACTCTGAATCTAAAAACTCAAGGTTTTCATATGGATCCTGGATCTCAAAACTTAGCTTTTGTTTATAGAATCTATTATAAAGTTATGAACACTCTATGTTCAAATGCGAGGCAAATGAATACAAAGGGTAAGACCATTTTCTTTCAAACAAATATGGATAAGTCTAATCTGGTTATACCTAAGTCTGTACCTTGGACACAGGTTAAATTACCGGAAAGATGATCTCTTCAGTCTGACAATGAGACTAAGATTCTTGAAAATAGAGAGCCTGAACAAATAATAGAATACCCGGATGGAGAAATTGAAATATAATTTCCATCATCTAGAAAACTTAGACTAAGTATTTTTAATACACTTCCTAGAAATCCGTCAAGAACCTCAACCTCCTCTATTCCTCAATCAGATTATGAAAAAGCCCATAATGAAAGAATAATCCTAGAAGGACTTAGAAATACTTCAAATCAAGTCCAACATCCAGTATATTGACTTAACACTCCTAGTTCTTCTCAAACTGAACCAGAAGAGCCAACCCTATCAAAATTTGACTTTAATCTACTTACAATTCAGAGTCAAGACGAGTTTGTCATCGATAAAAAATTGATTAAAAGAGATTAAATAGACAAATAAGGGAATGATTTTTTCAAGAATTTAAAGAAGAATTAAGGGATGCTTTTCATAAAAAGTTTAATAAATTTATGATGCAACATAGAAGGAATATGAAATTCTTCAAATGGCTTAAGTATATCCTCAAAAAAGAAGAGATTAAGCTTCTAGAGTTTAAAATAAATATGGCTGAAAAGGCCTTTCAGACCTTTCACACTATCAAAGGTGAAACTGTCGCATCTATCCATCCCCCATGAACAAGTTTACAATTAAAAGGAGAGAAACATAAAACTAAAGCTTCGCCCTTTAAGTTGGGGCCTAAGGAATCTCAAAATCATATGGCCAAATTAGAGGGAATACCATCCTAGAACAAAATAATTACACAAATATCTTCCTACAAACTACAAGAAAACAAACTACTAGAATTGAAAATGTTTTGAATAATTTAAAATCTGTAAGGCAAGAAAAGAAAGAAGAAAATCAAAAGAAAGCGGTGTTATTCGAACCAACACCAAGTATAGAAGCAGGAAAATTCTGCCTACAAAGAGTAAATAAAAAGGAAGATAATAAAGAATTAGTTGATGAGTTAGTCAAAAGATTTGTAAAACTGAATATTAATGAGGAGGGAAAACCTGTCATCGGTGAGCTACAAGTCCTACAAAAGATCAAAATTATACAAACCAAGAAATTTCTAAGATAGAAAATGCATTTAACACAGAAAGCTTCGATCTTGACAGAATAGATTATGGGAGGAAAACTAGGCCAGTTGCCCAAACTATAATTTATTATCATAGACCCACTCCTGTTGATCTCCAAATAGAAGAAAATCTTATTTCTAGTTCTGTGTCCTATTAAGGAAGGTCAATTGTAAATTCGAAAATAGATGGCTTGTCTAAAAATCAGATTCTCGATCTTATGAAACACATGATAATGTATGCCACCGCTTGTAAAGTAAGTGGAAACAACGATCATAAAATTGCCAAAGCTATCACATGTGGCTTTACAATATGGCTTTACGGATAGTGGGATTTTCATATGGATGAGACTACAAAGGATCAAATTCTAAATGTTATTAAACAATGGATTATTAAAACTGAAGTTAGCCCTGGACAAGTCCAAGAAAATGTAGTTGACGAAAGTGATACAGTTAATACACTAGTCTACACTATCACCCTTCACTTTGTTGGAAGTACGACTCTCTTAGCCACTAGATCAAAAGATCTGCTTTCAAATTTATGTTGCCCAACACTTTCTCATTTTAAATAGTATAAAGATGTTTTCTACTCTAGATTATTATCTAGGGAAGATAGAAAGGTAGGTCATTGAAAGGAAAAATTCATAATTGGACTTCCCCATCTTTTTGCTGAAAAGGTTAAAACACGACCGAAAAATAAACATGGAGGAGTTATTCCCTATTCCCTTTATACCCTTGGAGAATTATCAGCGAAAATCTGTATTGAAGGCCTTGCTTTGTGCATAGACCTGAAACTCCAAAGACAATTAGAAAAACAAAGAATAGCAGGGAAGAAAGAACTAGAAGACTTTTGGGAACAGTTTAGGTATAATACTTCACCCTCTTCTAAACCCTCTCAGAAAGAAAAACTACAAGAATTTACAAAAATCAAAATTTAAACAATCACAGA